GCCGGTTGAGCTATAGGCGCCGAGCCAGGTCAAGTAGAGTCTTAAGAGAGCAGCTTGGACCAGTCATTGTCCTCAGAACCTGAGGCCCAGAAAGTAGCAGCGGCTTGCCAAAGCCACACAGCCAGGGAACCACAGGTGTGTTTGTTCCTCCTTACTACTCAGTCCCCACTCCCCTCCCCCATTACCTATCCCCTTGTCCAAGGCCTTTCACCTTCCTGACCCCGACCTCCTTCTCTGGTACCATGGGACTGTAGTAGTGGTTGAGCTGTGTCTGCTGGACAGATGTGTCCAAGTCCTAACCCCTGGTACCTATTAGTGTGATGCTATGTAGAAATAGGGTCTCTGCAGACATAACTAAGGATCTTGAGAGAGAATCATCCTGACTTAAGAGAGGGTCCCAAATTCTATGACTAGTGCCTGTAGAGGAGCAGAAGACATAGTCACACAGAGGGAAAAGGCAAGTGCAGACAGAGAGGAAGATGAGTGATCCTCTACCAGCCAAGGAGCACCATGGGCTGCTCTGGGAGGGAAGGGTTGTCTTTGGGGAACATGGCCCTGAAAGCACCTTGACCTTGGACTTCAGGCTGCCAGAACTATAAGAGAATTATCATTTTTTTTTTTTGAGATATGATCTCTCATTGCTTTGGCTAGAGTGCCCTGGCATCAGCGTAACTCATAGCAACCTCAAACTCCTGGGCTCAAGTGATCCTCCTGCCTCAGCCTCCCGAGTAGCTGGGACTACAGGTGTCTGCCACCACACCTGGCTAGTTTGCTTGTTTTTCTATTTTCAGTAGAGACAGGATCTCGCTCTTGTTCAGGCTGGTCTGGAACTCCTGTGCTGAAGAGATCCTCCAGCCTTGGCCTCCTGGAGTGCTGGGGTTAAAAGTGTGAGCCACCTCACCTGGCCAGTTAAGTTTATCTCAAGGTACCCAGTTTTTAACTTGTCAGTGGCCCTAGGAACCTCTGTAGGGGCCAGTATTGTCTTGGCCCCAGTTCTGTACAATCCTTACTTGAAACAAGGGCCCTACCAAGGACTCCATCCCACACGGCCCAGTTCACAGGGTAAGAAATGTCCACTGTTGGTAACTTCAGATAATGACAAGATCCTATTCCAACTCCTCTTCCAAAATAAAGGCAGCACAGACATGTCCACACCTACTTTACTTAGGCAACAAAAAATTAAATCCTTAGTAATGAGGATGGGACTGGGAGATCTTGGGGAACGACAGCGAACAGGGGAGAGTCTGGGTGTGGGTCCGCTGGGGAGCCTGGAATCTAGAATCAGAACCAAGGGAGGGCAGCTGGAACCCTGTGCTGAATGTGGAATTCCACAAGCGTCCCCAAATGTCTGGAGCCCGCCAGCCACAGACAAGTTAGGAAGCTTTGCCGCCAAGGTGTCTCTTAGGGAGGGGCAATGTGGGAGGCCATGGACACCAGCCCACCTGGCTCCTGACTCAGTCCATCTTGAGCCCTTGGGTCCTGAGAGCTGACAGAGCAATGAGGAGCTGGGCTGTGTAGTAGGTGCTCATGGTCACCAGGCGGGCCTGGGGCAGGGGCTGGGCGAACATGTCCCAGGCCAGTATGCTGTCAGAGAAAGTAAAAAGCAGGGCACCCCAACCAGCACTGCCACCGCAGGCCAGGCCACGCCACAGCATGACAGTCAGGACCAGTACATAGGCCATTAAGGGCAGGACCATGTCAGACCGGAGGTACGGCAGCAGCAGGCTTTGGTACAGGACAGAGGCCAGAACGATGAGTAGCAGCAGGCCTGGCCGCAGTGGGCAGAGGCCAAAGGCCCAGGAGTAGAGAAGGTGGGCCACAGCAAAGGCAGCCATGCCTGGTGAGAGATATGGGAGAAGTGGAGAGGGAGAGAGCAGAGTGTTGGCCCTCCTTTTGCCTGGGCAATACTCAGGGCTCGAGGGGGAGGATTATCCCCAAGCCCCAGCCTGAACCTTAGCCTAAGCCTCCTCAGGGGCCTCCTAACTTCTCCTTGCCCTCAGCCTGGAGCAGTGGGTGTGGACTTCACATGCTGCCCATCCTTGCTCTGCTCAGGACGCCCATACCCAGGCCTTACTCAACCTCCATGGCCCCACACCTGGACTTTCTAGTCCAGCCACCCAGGCCTACAGGACATATACACACAGCCTACTGCAGGCCCTCCACATTTGCCCTCTCACCATGGACACAGTCACTTTCTTCAAGACTACCCAGATGTCACCTCCTCAGGAAGGCCTTTTTTTTTT